GTATATATATATATATATATATATATATAATGGTTTTCTTTGAATTGGAGATAATGCAAGCAACTCTCTCTCTCTCTCTGTATGTGTAGAAGCCCTTGCAATCTCTCGTTCTTTTTTTTTGGAACTGGTTTTTTTGTCTACGTTTTTGTTTTTTTGTTTCATTTGCCTTTTTTTTGAATCTTTTCCTCACTTTTCTTTAATATATTTTTCTGGCGTCAACATGTGGGTGGGGGGCGATCTCACCTTTTGTGTGGTCATCCAGTACTCTGGGACGGAGGAGTGTGTAGTGCCGTTTTTGCTTTTGCAGTGTTGGTTTTTATATTCTTTTTTTATCCTGCACGAGTGCCTGAGTGTGTGGGAGCGGGGCAATTCCTCTCGTCTTTTTTTTTTGTTCGTTCTTCCTTACCCTGCCCCACCTCTACATGAATCACGCGGCAGTACAAGCAACGGAGGGGGGCAGGATGCAGCGAATGAAGCGACTCACTCATTCATGTTCTTTTTGGCCCAATCCATTTGTTTGGGGGCCCTTGTGCGGAGGCCGCCGTCAGCTTGTGGTTGGAAGCTGCAGCAACGGTGTACGGCCGGCAGTGACCGTCAACTGGATTGACATTGTTGGGCATGACACATCTATGGCGAAGAGAATTGCCGCAGGGGAGCTCTTGGCGATGATGGATTTATGTGCCAAGCGGGTGGCAGATGTGTATTTGAGCGCACTGAGACCAGGCATAAGCACCAGCACCGTGGGAGTGATGGAAACAGTCTTTTCGTCTCCCGTCCTGCACGGTGATGCTGTTCGGATGAATGGCAGAATTGTGTTTTGCGGCGCCAGTTCACTAGGTATTTACATTCGCTTTTTTCCGCCAGTCTCCGTCCACGCTTGTGGAGACACCAGCAGGGGAGAGTTTTTTTACTATGGTAGCAATTGATGCGAATCTGAATGCGCTCAAGGTGGTGCCTGCGGTGGAGATAACAGCGGAAGACGACATTGCCTTATACCACCAATACGTTCATTTGCGGCAGAAGACAAAGGAGGATGAGGAGGAAACGCGTGCCCTGGCAACTAAGTCTGTCACCGCAGGTAGCGTGCAGTGCAGTATCAATGAAGCCAAGCCAACTCATGTTGCCTTCTCCGCCACCCGAACACAGGCGAATCGCATCTTTCTGCTTTACCACTTGAATAATAACCGAACTATATTTGGTGGCGAGCTGATGCGCTGGATGGAGAAACATGCTGTTCACTGTGCCAGCATGTTCACAGGCAACCGTAACGTGTACACAGTGGGTATGTACACTGTAGAGTTTCGTCAGCCTGTGTTTGGCACCGACTGGGTTCAGCTCGAAGCCGACATTGTATACGTTCATAACACGACGATGGAGGTGGGTGTGAAACTTACGGTAGAACGTGAGGGACGCGTTGTGATCACGAACCAGGCCTCCTTCGTGATATATAACTCCAACGAGATTGGGCAGAAAATCACCGTTCCCAAAGGACTGGAATTATCAGGTGCCTCAGAGGAGGAACTACTGCGCTTTGCCCAGGCGAAGGAACGGTATTGGCGTCGTCGGAATCTCAGCTGAAGTCGCTGCCCCATTAATTGATGCTTTTTTGTTGTGTATGTGCGCTTTTTTTTTTTTTTTAGCGGGCCAATGCCTGGAAGGCGTTGCAGGAAAGTTGAGGAGAGAGGCCCCTGCGGCCAAGCGAGGTAGGGATAGAAAGCACATTCATCACCGGCATCAAAATGGGAGATATATATATATATATAACTGAAGGAAAAACGTGACGAGCAAAAGTAGAACATGGCGTGTTAGTGATGTATGAAAACATTTTTAAACACTAACTGTGATATGGTACGGGGTTGTGGGTGTTCTTCTGAAACAGACATTCTTCTTTGTCCCTTCCCTGTAACTCCCTTTTCCCTGTTGCGGCTATGTGTGTGTGGTGTGGGTCTGTTAGGAGGAAGGCAGATGTGTGTGTGCACATGGGTGGTGGAGCGCGTGTCTACGGATATCCATGCCTAGGAGGAGGAAAATTAATGTATGTCATGATGTGTAGGATCTTCTTCCTGCCCTCATCTTTTTTCTTTTTGTCTGTAATCGCTGATAATAAATCGTGAGAGTTGCCCCGGACGCTGGGTTGAATATTAAGCTCATACCCGTATTTTGATTGTAGTACGAGGCGTCTTTTCCTCATTCACCCCTCCCATGGTGTTTTTGGGGGCAAGCTGCAGACTGTGTGTGTGTGTGTGTGTTTGCTGCGTTCTGTACACGGTGGAGGAGCAATAAGCCACCACGCACAGGAAGGAACGCAGGTACGCACAGAAAAAAAAGGCGGAGACGTGGGACACCAATAAACTGATTGAAATTGAGGTGAAGTTGCTCTCTCTCTCTCTTTGTTTTTTTTTCTCTCTCTATACATCCATATAGCTTGTTATATATTCGTTCTCTTGTATTCGTTCCTCCCGTGTATTTGAATGTTTCGTCGCCTGACGGTTGCTGCGGCTATTCCTGCCTGGCAGACATGGGCGGTGAGTCTGAGGCGACGGACGAACGGCCCCATAATAGTTGGAAACCAGGCACTTGGAGTGCGTGACTGCGAGGCCTCCAAAATGACGATATGCGACTTTATTGGTAGTTTTGATCCGAATTCGCGGAGCAGAGCCGCCGCAGGAGAAGTTTTGTCTTTCCTTGACCACTGCGGCGCACACGTCGCCTTCTCCTACGTGACGGGCTCGAAAACGTGGGATCAGGCCACAACGCTAAAGGAGCTGGGCATAACACTGGCAACAGTCTCGTTTAATGCCTTTATGTTCCGACGGCCCGTATATCGAGGCGACATTCTTATTGTGAACGGAACTGTGATCTACGCGGGAGACACTTCCATTGGCGTGCACCTGGATGTGGGGAGGCAGAGCTATGACAGTTCAACGCCGACGAATGTCGGGGAAAGCGTTATGACGATGGTGTGTGTGTCGCTGAGCGACGTCGGCAGTGTGATGAAGGGCCATGTCCCGGCTTTGCGCATCTCGTCACCCGTGGACAAAAATCGATACGAAAGCTTCTGCACCATGCGAAGCATCACGAAGGCGCTGCAAAGGGAAAATGAGGAGACGAATATAGAAATGACATGTATCGAAGATGAGATTAATTGTGGAAAGCCAGTCAAAGTGGCCATTGACGACACGAAAACGTATTGCAATCATTTTTACCGGCCGACTGACGTAAATTTAAACAACACCGTTTTTGGTGGAAATATCCTTTATTGGATGGAGGAGAATGCCCGCCACTGTGGTCGTCTCTTTGTTGGTTCTCCTCATGTTTGTACTATTGGCATGCATGATATGGTCTTTGGGAATCCGCTTTACACAACGGATTGCCCAACAGTCGTTACCAAAGTGGTGTATGTGCGTAATACGACGATGGAGGTGGATGTCGAGATGACTGTGGAGCGAAACGGCATGTTCGTGGCATCAAATCGCGCGTCCTTTGTGCTTCTCAACATGGACGCCAATGGGAAAGGGGTTCCTATTCCAAAGGGAATTGATCTGGAAAAGAGTACGCTGGAGGACAGAAAAGCATATGCCCGGGCGAGGCGCCGGTACAACTACAGTTTGGAGGCAAGAAAGGAGGGGACGCTGCACTTTGAGTCTCGTTGTGGTGTGGATTAGCTGATTTAGGGTAATAAAAACATATATATATATGTATGGGTGTATGCTGTTCTTGTTTGTGTCCTGGGTGGGGTGGAGGGCGCTGTTTCGTCGTCTCTTTGTTCAAATATTTGGGGGCTTGCGAGGGGGACGGTTAAGCTCTGCGGATTATTTTGCTGGGAAACTCCCCAAACTAAAGCATTTTATCGTTGCCTTTTTTTTTTTGCTTTGAATGTTACTGCGGTGAAGGTTGCGCAGTAGGAAGCTTTTTTTTTTCCAATTTGGAAAAACCGCTCAGCTCATCGCACTCTCCGCCTTCCGTGCAAGTGGTGAGTTAGAGGCCGTTTTTAGGATTTTCACTGCGTAAGCGTTTTTTATTTTATTTTTTTGCCATCACGAACGACATGGATTTGTTTTGGGCCTGCTGTTGGTGAATGAAATGAACTCGCTGTGGCCATTGGGAATAATCATGAAGAGGCACACCATGTGTATCCTCACTATAATAATTATTTTTTTCTCTCATGGTCTGTAAGGGAAAAACAAGGCTGGTACTATTCTGATATATATATATATATATCGCTTATTTATACGTTGCTTTTAGCTGCCGTTAGGGTTGTTATTGTTGTTTGCGTTTTTTTTTGGTTTTTTTTTTTTGTGTTGCCTCCGGGGTGCAACTGCGTGTTCATGTGATTTTCTTGCGGCGGCTTCGACATGCGTTGTTTGCATATTTTTGTCGCTCAGCGCAGGGGGGCGGGGTCTGCACGGCGAAGAATGGCGGCGAGGTAGAAGCGACGCGTTTGACAGTGGCCGTGGGGCTGTTTCATTTTATGTCTAGTCTTGTTGTTCCAGTTTTTCCCATAAGCTCGGTTGAAACGTTTCTCACTTTCGCGCAGCCCTGTCGTCTCTTTTCACATGCTGGGGTTGACGGAAGAAGACATCACAGAAGAGGCCATTCATATTGAGGAGGCGCGGCTGCGGAGTGCGACGCTGACGGTCACTCAGCTGCAGGAACAACTTGCGTCCCTGCAGGCGAAACTGAGACTCGCGGAGGAGGAGTGCACTCGTCTAGCCAACTCGCTGCGATGGCGCCGGATGATGGCGGAGGTGGAGCAGGACGATGAGCTTACTGGTATCACGGCCGCGATGACGACAGCCTTGAACAGGTTTTACGCCAGCCTGCATCCTCCGGCCGACTATGACGAGGTCAAAGAGGAGGTTCCCTACGTGGACACGGACGACTACGCCGACTTCTCACCTATTGAGGCGCTTTTTGACGATTGTCTGGCGGTTGTTTTGGAACTCCTGTCGGAGGAGGGCGATAGTGCACCGGGTAGTCGGGAGGGGCGGCACCGCCGTGCGATGTTGATGTTGCTTGTCTTGACTGTGAACCTGGGGCGGCTATTTGAGTCAGCGGAGATGGCGGAAGCGCGCGAGGAGGCCGAAGAGCTGCGGGAAAACGTGACGTCCGTATGGCAGCATCTACTGTACTCGGACGGTGGGTTGACGCCGCTGGAGAAAGCGGAATGGAAAGAGGTTGTGCAAACGTTTTTGGGGGCGCCGTATGACATACCGGCATGCTAATGAGCCCTTGTCTTTGCGGTGCGTTGGCTGAGGTGTGCAGCGGTAACTTGAACTTCCCGTTATTCCTTTATGGCTTCTACGCGGGGAGGAAGGGCCCCCGCAACGTGTTTCTAACGAAGGAGGTGTGTGTGTGTGTGTGTGTATGTGTATGCCGCCTCTCATACGTTTGGCTGCCTGTGTTTTTGTGTGGGTATGAGTCTCAGTTGTTGGTTTATTATTATTATTTTGCGTGCTTGCTTGGTTGCTTGTGTGTGTGTGTGTGCGTTGCTGCTCGCACACGCGCCTACTGGGGTGGGGATTGGGAGTGAGTGGCTAAGGAAGCACGCAATAGCCTTGCACTCGTTCGAATCAAATAAGGTAGTAGTGTTCAACGACGTAGGTGCTGCGCGTGGGATGAATGCTGTAGCTGGGTATCTGCACCGCTGCCTCTTGTTGCGTCGCACAGGCATGTCCGTCCTAATCGCGCCCAGTGTGACGGCAGCAACATCATCTTCGTTGCCCACGTCGCCGCCATCATTGTGTGCGACACGTCGCCACATCACTTCCTTTCACGGCCAGCCGCTGGAATTTATGCACGAGGTGAACGGGGAGAGTGCGGCGTTGGTGTATTTCTATACACCCTGGAGTGAACAGTGCGATCGCGCCAAGATCAAACTGCAGGCGTTGCTGAACATAGGATGCTCCAAACCGCGAGAAACCTCCGAGACTGCGTTGCCAGCCACGCCTGCACGGCCTTCAGCATCGTCATTGCCGCCGTCGTCGCTCTCAGGGGAGGCGACAGCGGCAGGAGGAAAGACATGGTCGGAAGCGATTTATGGTGCCAGGTCGCGTGCGGACCCAGATGCGGTGCTGAAGAGTGCGAGTGAGTTGTGTTTGCAGGAGCGGGCGAACGGCAGGGCGGTGCGCATCATCCCCGTTAACACCGACGAGAACCCAAAGTTGGGGGCTCTGCATGATATCCGCAGTGTTCCAACGTTTGTGACGTACCGTGATGGGCACATCGTGGGACGTGTTGAGGGGTGTAGCGAAGAACAGATACAACAGCTAGTGAAGGAGCTGCTTCAGGAGGACGGCGGCGACACGCCGGCGGCAGACCAGACGTCGAGGATGCGAAATGCGCGCGAGAGTGAGCCAGCGAAGAAACCGACGCAGAAGTAGCGGACGCGCACATAGGTGGGTGCCAACAAGGAGGAGGGAGCGAAGCGCCATGCGAGACGAGTCCACTCGGAAGGCGGCTTGGAGTCATAAGTGTTTTTTTTTTCCACCTATGCATCGAGACGCAGTTCGGGGGTGGGTCGGGGATGCAATAAAACACTAATAACAAATTTATAAATTAAGAAAAATATATTTAATAAACCAATTGACTTATGGAAAACGATTTATTTTGTAGATTTAATACGATAGCGTCTTTTTGGTTTTTTTTTTTGTTCTTTTTTTTCATTCTCGTTCTTCCTTTATTTCTTCATCGATGCACATATGTATCTATGTATATCCACATATTTGCATAGAAGAATGCATTTTTATTGCTTACATACACACGTCTTGAGGTGTGTATGTAAGATATGTAGGAGTTTTGTGCGCAGAGAACACCATACCGATGTGCTTCTTTTATTACGCTAACAATTAAATCCCCATTTATTCCCTTTTTAACCCACCGGAGGCGGCCTCTGCAGAGCGCTTTCAGGACTCATGTGCGTTTGGCTTTTCCTGTTGTCTTTACGTTTTATGCTTGTTTGCTTACTCCCCCTCCCCCCCCCCCTCGTTCGGACTCTCACTTTCTCACGTTTTTCCACCGTTTTGAAGGAAGGTTATTGTGAGTGTGTACTCAGTTTTGTAGCAGACACGCGTGTCCTGCGGTGCTGGCGTCACTGCTCCATTAGCAAGGTCAAGGCATTTCGCTCTCTGTCTCCACTCCACACAACACAAGCTAAAAACATCGCGTGTTTTTTTGGGCGGGATCAACCATCACCAGAGAGGGGAAAGGAAAACGAGAGGAAACATCACTTATTATTTGTTGGCTGTAGCAGTGAAAGGAGGCAGCAGCAAATACGCTCGGGGACGTCAAGGTCTTTTTTCATGTCATATTTCTTCTCATTGCTGGTGCTGCTGGCGTTGTGGTCTTTGTGTAACGGGGGCAGCTGCGTCTCTCTGGGGGACGCCGTTGCTGCCACTCCCGCCGCCTCAGTCGTCGGCGCGTCTTCACAGTCCCTTGGGAAAAAGCGCAGTTCCCTGCAAAAGTGGCTTGGCGCGGAATGGTGCCAAAAATACGGGGTCCCATTTTACTGGTTCCTGCATCAGCACCACCACAACCAACATTTCTCCCCCACAGACAACACAACATCCCACCTGGCGGCTTCGCATGCTTCGCACCGGGTGCACTGGCCATCACACACTGCTCGCACAGCGGGACTCGCACAGACGGATGTGCGATCACTAGAGCCGAACCACGGTCGCTACGTCGTCGTGAAACTTGACAAACTCAGTCGGGGGGAGCGGCGGGGGGTGCGATCCACCTTGATGAATCATGGCCTGGAAGACACCCACATTATTGACGAACTCCACATGCTCGTGTATGTGGATCTCCCGCGTGCCGCGCAACTTCGAACAGCTGTCGAAGCTGCCGATGATGGGGGGGAAGCGCCGCTATCACTCTTGACGGTGTTGGACGTCTACTCCACTCCCACTGGGGCATACATGAAACTCTCTCGTGCAATCCGCCTTTCAATGAGCCGCTGCGGCGCTCCGCATGATACTGGCGGTAGTGGTGGCGAAGAGGACACCACCCAAATGTCAGAACGTAGCCTTCGATGGCGGTTGCCGCTGGACGTTCGTACGGCCTTGGGGAGAGAGAATGCTGTGGAGGCGTCACTTCGAGGTGTGCTACAGAAGGCAACGAACATGTCAGTGAGATGTCAATGGGACATTGTGAGGTCACTTGCTGGTAAGGGACACGTGCGATGGGTGTTAACACTCTCTTTTCAGGAACGAAAAAACGGGGATGAGGCAATGCACGTTGTCTGTCACTGCGCCGCCTTTATCAATGCAGTTGTGCGGCACCCTGCAGTGCGATGGATGGAGGTGGCTGTTGAACAGGCTGCCACACTAAACTTTCATGCGACTGCTCTTGTACAGCATGGAGAGCAGGATGAAGAGGAGCCGTTTCGCCCCTTCTGGGATGTGGGAATCGACGGCAGTGGGGAACTGATCGGGATGGCGGATACCGGTGTCGATTTCGATAGTTGCTTCTTTCATGACCCCAACGAGTCTGTGGCGTTGTACCCAAAAGTGAACCATCGCCACCGCAAGGTTGTGTCATTTGTTCCAAGCGACTTATTTCCTGGCGAAGTGTTGATTGGCGACCAAAAAAAAGGTCATGGAACGCATGTGGCAGGCACAGTGGCAGGGCACATGCTCGGTAAGGGGGAGAATTCCAAGTACGACGGCGTTGCTAAAGGGGCGAAGTTGTTTTTTACGAGCCTTGGTGCTCGCAGCCAGTCTCTACTAACACTCCCGGTTGACATCACTGATATATTTCGGCCTGGCTACAAGGAGGGGGCACATATCTTCTCAAACTCATGGGGTTTTTTTGTCCCGGATGAGTACACAGCGGTGGAAAAAACTATGGACTCTCTTGCAAGTCACATGGACGATGCCCTTATTATTTTTGCCGCTGGCAATAAACCTGCGTCAGGCCTGTTAACACCTTGTCGAGCAAAAAATATGCTTTGTATTGGAGCACATAAGAACAGTTTTGATCGACAGGAGCAAAACATCATTCCAAGTTTTTCCTCCCATGGACCGACGTATGACAATCGTGTGAAACCCGAACTTGTGGCTCCGGGTTATAAAATCACTTCTGCCCTCTCAGATGGCGACATTTTCACACGGCAGTGCACCGTCGTTAAGATGTGGGGGACTTCTATGGCCACTGCCGCCTTGGCGGGGTCGGTGGCCTTGATACGTCACCACCTTCGCAAGGTGGAGAATGTCTCTTCTCCGTCCGCTGCATTACTGAAGGCGTTGCTGATTCACTCCACCGTAAATTTGAATAACCCAGAGTTAAGTGGATTCGGTCGTCTTGACATGTCTCTTTTTTTTACCTCTACTGGTATTCGCGGATGGTTTTGTGACAGAACTCTTATTGATCACCACGCTAGCAACATGTATCATTTTACGTTGGGGCCTATGTCACCTGAGGTAAACGAACTTGTGCGTGTGACGCTTGTCTGGACGGATTCCGCAGCCGCGATGGAGGGCTCGGTTAAGTCGTTAGTCAATGATCTTGACGTGATATTGGTGGATTCGACTGGTGGCTTACACTTTGCTGGCAAGAACAACACCCTGGACACCACAAATGTGATGGAGCAAATTGATTTGTCACCCTCCTGGAAATTAGCTGCAGGATTCTGTGTCTTCGTTTATGGCGGTAGCGTCCATGATGGGGGTAACCAGCCGTATGCCCTTGTGGTGTCTGGCCCTAGTTTGAGGTATGTGGGGGATGCGGTTGGCATGCCCATTGCGAGGTGTGCTAATAATTGCAGTGGTCACGGCGATTGCGTTGGAGGTGTCTGCAAATGTCACTTTGGGTATCGGTTTATTGACTGTTCTGTTTGCGACGAGGAAACCATTTGTCATGGGCATGGGACGTGTGAGGCAAAGGATTTGCGGTGCACCTGTGACAATGAACACTTTGCCGACGCAAATTGCTCGTCTTGCAAGTTGGGGTGGTACGGACCATCGTGTTCTTCCAACTGCACATGCAGCAACAGGGGGAAGTGCGACGTGGTGACTGGCGAATGCAACTGCCAAAAAGACAAAAAGTGGGGTGGATCGGGGTGTTTCGAGGGTCCAAACTGTGAGTTTTGCTGCAAAGACTTCACCGGGGAAAATTGTAACTTGCGAAGTTACTGGTGCAAAGAGGATGGGTGGCCTCTAGTGGTGAGTGACGCTGCCGATGGATACATTCAGGTGAACGGCTACGGCTCCTACTCCCCCATAATTGTGTGTCGATGGGTGATTGAGGCGCCGCGAGGCCGTAGAATACGATTGGAGTACCTCAGCTTTGACGTGGAGAGCCCGACGGATGTGGTCTTCGTCTACAATGACGCGTTTGAGGAAACGGGACCCGCACGCTCGGATACCGGTACGAACGCCGAGGGCGTAGTCTTTCTTTCCGCATTTAATGTTTTATCCATCGTCTTTAACTCTCATTGGTCGCATGTTCGTCGGGGATTCCTGCTGCATTACACCTTTGAGAAATCAACGCCCCACAACTGCACCCTCGCATGCGTTGAAAACGCTTTCTGTGATACATGGGGCGGCGGCTTCTGCGTCTGCGATGACGGGCGCGCAGGATGGAACTGCAGCGTGGCGGTGGATGCTGAGAAAAAGGCCGTGGAGTTGCGGGAAGAAGCAGAAGGAGGAGCCACCCATGTCACACTTCTTGTCAATGAGGAGTTTAAACTTGCCCTGAAACATTCCTTGCCCATGTGGAGAAAGGCCAACGTGTATGTTGCCTTTGATAAAGGCTTGTTCGCACGGCAGCAGAACGGAGTGGCGCTGAGAGCAGCAGTTGTCCACAGCAATCCTGGTGGGACACTCCGTTCAGTGGCTGAGGAAAAAATTGGAGTAACAAGTACCTGTACGTATGTCCGAATTAGTATAGATCGCACATTGAGTACCCAAAACGACGAGTTGAATATATCCTTCACTCTTCTTTATAACGCATCCCTGTCATCGGTAGCAGCGGACCATGTAAATTACCTTGCAGCGGCATATCTTGGAAAGAGTGAATCCAAGGCTGCGTACGAAGAGGATAATGATGATGCGCATCTTTTGAAGGTGTATTGCATCCCCTCTCTTCCGTCTACAATCCCTTCTTCGATTTTTGATTTACCCCCTTCAACGCGCCCAGGCTCCAAAGGCAGAATGCACGCCTTTTTGTGTGTGACGCTGTTTGTATTTGTTGTGTGCCTTTCTTCCATTTTTTACGTGGCTTTCTCCTGCCGCTCCCTGTTCTCCAGCGATGACATTGCCTTGGCAGAGATCCCCCTGGAGGAGGTGGTGGTGCTGGCGTCATCTGATGGTGGCGAGGAGGCGGACGATGATGTCAGCCGGGGCTCCGTTGAAGGGTTGCTCTCGTTCCTGCCGCCATCTTCACTAGAACAAGAGGTGGAGAACGCGCGTCCATTAGGGGCCCCCAAAAGGAGAAGACAGGCGTACACGGGGGTCGCGGTAGATGATGCGGAGGACGTGGAAACGGTGGACCCAAATAAGATTTATGAGGAGGGCGAAAAATCTGACAACCTTCCCGCTGGAACCTGACCTTGTTTATGACCTCGGGCCGCTGCTGCATTTGTTTGCGTTTTTTCTTTGATTTCTATTATGCATGCGCGTGTGTGTGGAATCAGTATTTTTTCTCTCTCTCTCTGCACCCCCCCCCCCCCCTTACTGATTTGCCGTTGCGAATTCACCGAAGTACTATCTCTCATTCTTTTGGAAGGTGTGGGTGTGTTGGTGTTCTTTGGTGTCACTGTCGTTGCCCCGTCTTTTATTTTTCTCATTGCTTTCTTGTTTTTTAAAATTTGCCTGTCCTTGTGCGCCTGTTTGGCAGGACGACGCTCCCCCTTTTTTTGCTTCTCTATTGGTTTGAGTCCGCGCTCTGACTATCTTTTTTCCTGCAGTGTTGAGGTGTGTGGTGCTGGACGCGTCTGTGTGTCCCATCTTTTTTCACACCCCGGTGTGGTATGCTTCCCTTTCTTTTCCTTTTTGACATACACGTGTGTGCGTAGGCGGTGGTGTTGTGGCCAGGAGCTTGCAGGTAGTGCGGGACAAACCAGTTGTGGGTGTCTTCTTCCCCTGTTTTCTGGCTGGAAGAATGAACGACTGCACAGGCTGGCGAACTCCTATTTTCCATGAGGAGGGCCCAGTAGAGGAGAGTAACGGGCGGCGCGCCAACGCAAATGTGCTTCTGCCGGAGCCATGTGACACCGAGGAAGCTGAGAACGCCGTTGTGCTGCGCCTGCGCAACATTGAGAAGAGTTACTCCATCGAAGGGACGGACGACCGCGTGGTTGTCCTGCGGAACGTGAATCTGTGCGAGCAGTGCGGCAGGGACGGGTTTGGTCCCATCCGCCGAGGCGAGTTTGTTATGATTCGTGGCCCGAGCGGTGGAGGCAAGACGACGCTGCTGAGCATCATCGGCACTATCGACTTGCCGACCTCTGGCACGATCGAACTTATGGGGACGGTGATCAACCGCCAAACTCCCGATAGTGTGTTGGCTGAATTCCGGTTACGCAAGATTGGTTTTGTTTTTCAGACGTTTAATTTGATTTCAACGATGACTGCGTTGGAAAACGTGGAGCTCCCCATGACACTGCGGGGAGTATTGTCCAAAAAGGAGCGACGATTGCGTGCCTCTCGGTTGTTGGCCCTCGTGGGGCTGCGTAACCGTTTAAACCATCTGCCGTCAGAGCTCAGTGGTGGGGAACAGCAGCGGGTGACCATCGCCCGCAGCCTTGCCAACAACCCGCAGCTATTGCTCCTAGATGAGCCTACCGGGGACCTGGACACACTGAACACGATCCAGGTGATGGATCTGCTACTCCGCCTCAACCGCATGACTAAGACGACCTGTATTATGGTCACCCACAACCCTGACGTGGAGTGCTATGCAGACCGCATCCTGTACGTTGCAGACAGTCGGTTTGTTAAGGAGGTGCGCAACAGCTGTCCACAGCGTCTCCTATACGATGTGTATGTGAAGAGCCTTGAAGGGCGGGAGAATCAATTGACCACAGTTGTGCCTTCGGAAGAAGATACATCTGAACTTTTTGAAGTGTGAGAAAATGTGTGAATTCATGCAATTTTTAAACTACAAGATGCTTGCCTGCGCCTGTGATTTGTCTTTTTTTTTATTATCAAGTTTTCTGCGTTTCCAATGTGAAGGGTCACTCTAACCCCCTTCCCTTGTGCTTCTCTTCCTTCAGAAATATCAAAATTAAAACACACAAAAAAAAGTATGAAGTATTAGTTGTGGTTCTTTTTTTCCTTTGATGCAATGACTTTGCTGGCGCATCGCGGGTCGCTTCTCCCTCTCCTTGTCTGTCTCTCACTTTATCCGCCTGCTGCGTTGCGTGCGCCCTTTCTCTCTCTCTCTCTTGCAATGGCTGAAGTGCTTACGGAGAGGTTTGAGAAAAAAAAAATATGGGCCATTTGAATTATTTTTCGTTGCGACTTTTGTTGTTGTTCCTTTTCTCCATCGTTACTTCAGGTTGGTGGTGGTGGGGTGTCTGCAGGAAGGCCACTGCGGGGGCAGTAGCAGGGTCGTAAACAAATTAAAGGAAAATATACAAGTGGGCGAAGAGAGTGGGAGAGGACCAAAGTTAAGCAGCGCGGTGTAAAAGGCCTTGCCGGTTTTTGTGCGAACGAAGGGAGAGTCACGAGTTGGCAGGTTTCAGTTGCAGTGCGTTGGCTGCGCATGGGGCTCATGCCATTTTCAACATCACGGGAGTCGGGTATATCGGCGGTGGCATCGCCACCAGCGTTTGAGTGCGCTCTTCCCCGCGAAGGAGAGACACCGGATGGGGCTGCAGGCGGCGAAGGGCAGCGGAAGCAAAGCGGGATTGCGGGACCCAGCTTACGCACGGGTGCAAATGAGTCTTTAGAAACGGGCCATAGTGACGAAATAGAGTGTTGGATATGTCGTTTAGGTGGAAGCACCGTCCAAAATCCATTGATTACTAACGTGTGCAAATGCCGTGGGTCTGTTGGCTGGGTCCACCGTGAGTGTATTGACACCTGGGTGCTTTCACAGAATCGCTCTAACTGCCCAAGCTGTGGAGCTGAGTATAAGATTCTTGCGATAAGTAAGGTACGATTGCCACAAACCTTCTTTGGAGAGTTAAACCTTCTCTTCTGGGATTTCTTTCTGCCCTTGTCCTCCAAGGCTCTGACACTTTTGGTCGGTAGTGCGATAAACGGTTTTGTCGTGCCGTGGGTTATTGGCGCCACATTTTATCATAAGTATTTGTTTTTGGACCAGCCTGAAGTGTCCCAGGCATTCAATGCCTCCGCAGGCACTGACGGTAACAGTACCTCGTTGCATCCTTTGCTGGAGGGTGGTGAGCATGATTCATCTTTCAGTGGTGCTTGGCTTTGGTTTAGCGTTATGGCTTACGGTTGGATTTGGGTCTCACTGTGGCGGTGCACAAAGTTAGTATGGGGTAGGTGGCAGGCTTTTTTTAATGACACACACACGGTGTTTGCCACAGCAACAGAGGAGGATGAAGATAGTGAGGAAGCGGAGTACACACCGCACTCAAACACAAATTTGGGGACAATGCATTGGATGTTGGACTATTGCTTGGAATGGACAGGTAGTTCGCCAAACATGCTCGTTTCACGGATGGTGGAACTTGGTTTTCTTGTGCCGCTTTCATTTATTTTGCGATACCCGCATGGGCAGGTGCTAGTTACTTTAATCCTGCTGCTGGGCCTTATGCTTGGTTGCCTTGTATACCCACGGAGACGTATAACCAGTCCACAGCTTCGTTTTACAGAGGCTCAAGAGCATAAGGAGGGTGCAACAGACTTGGACATTGTCTTATGGTACATTGCCTATGTCACAGAGATGATATGTACCGCCATGCTATCCATCTTTGCGGGGGTTGTTGTGCACTTTGCCTTGTCCCCATACATGCTAACGTTTCCGGCATCGTTATCGGCGTTCCTTGTTGAGCTGTCACTTACACGGGTTTTGGCTTATTGGGTGACAGGACTCGTCTGTTGCGCGGTTTCGCTGCGGGTGGATGGTGGCATCATCTTTCCTCTCTTTGCTCCGGGCGTCCAGTTATATTTTGTCCGCAGTATGGACTCGGACCTGGATGATGAAGAAGATTACTGGATTTTTGTCTTGTCTCAAGTTATTGACTTTGACCCGTTCCGAGCTGGCGTTGATTTTGTCCGCCTGTGTTGCGTTGAGTTAACTGCTTTGTACGTGTTTTTGGCTGCCCCACTGTACGTCGTGTTTGCCGCATATGAGGCAATGACAAAGGACACCGCGAGTGGACCTCTTACGCTACCACTTGCCTCTGGATTCCCCGTGGTTATGGTGGTACCGGGAAGCGACGGAGTTGCTGCGTGGTTGAACTCCGACCCCACCCCGGAAATGAGTTCGTTGGTAGGCGGTTATTCTGAACATTTGTTTTTTCTCTTGGCGCATCACCTCACGCGCTCCTTACGGGGGGTGTTGGCTTGGCTCATGAATGACCCTCACTGGTTGAATTGTGTCGCAAATGCACTGATCGTTCTTGGTACAGGAACGGCTATTTTATGCATGTGGTTATTCCCCATGAAACGCATACAGTTGAAGGTCCTCCGAGGTGTGGCTGTGTTTCTTGCGCGTCATGTTGTTCACCTGGAAGATTATCTTTTCGATGCACAGCGCCTCTCCATTCTTGACGACTGGTTGCATGGCGATGATCAGTCCGATCTCCCTTTTCCAGCGCTGCAGTTACCAGCGGTACTCCTCCCTCGGCAGTTTTCGCTGCCATCGGGGTCGGTATTACCAAAATATCTGAAGTTGCGTCTTGTGCTCTTCTCATTTCTCTTCTTTGTCACCTCCAGTGCGTTGTTCTGGACGATTCCCGTGGCGGCCATGACGCTGCTTTTGGTGTTCTTGCCATACTCAGTGCCGCTCGTATGTATCTCGACCAACCTGATCTTTCTTGTATTTAGCCCGAGAACACACGTTTATGTAGCCGCCAACATTTTGCTATTGTGCGTCATTTTTGTTCTCGGCGTCCCGCTGCAGTCGCTTTTTTTCTGTGCCTCTCTGTGGCATTTCTCGCGGCTGCAGTTGGTGCTGGATACGTTGGAGTTTGACCACAAGCTGTGGCGCACGGTGGGAGCGTACAGCGGCGAGGCGGGGGACGGTGCGTAGTTTTTGGGTGATGAGACGGAGTTGCCCTTGACGCCTTTTTGGAGTCGCGGAGAGGGGGGGGAGGGAGGGGACGCGAACTGAACTAACGGGGAGGGACGGAGAAATGTAGTGAGCGAGAGAGAAAAAAAAAAGAAACAACGAAATAAGAGAAGAAACGGAAACCACAAAATAAACGGAAGAACAGTGGCGTATGCTGAGTGAGTGCGTCACTGGCTCCTCTCTCTCTTTTTTTTTTCTCTTTATTTGTTTGTTTTTGCTTTTGTTGTTGGTCTGCTTTGTCCCCCGCCTTTCTGCACCTACCGCCCGTCATGCACAAACACTGCAGAACGGGAGCAAACAACAATTCCTCCACTTTCTTCCCTCTTCAAAGTAAGTAACAAAAAAAAAAAGAACGTGAAGGGCACAGGTGTGAGGTGCGATGGTCTGCCGCCTTTATTTTTGCCAGGGGATTGCTGCGGGGGTGGAGGGAGCGGGACATCTGGGGCTCCACGCGCTCTCGTTTCTTTTGACACGCGTGGGGGGGGGGGGGGGGAAACGGTGGCTAAAAGAAACCCGCGTCCCCCGCATGAGGAGGAGGAAAACCAGAGAACCAAAATTGGGCGTTGGCTGGCGGGGCCGATGTGAGGTTCCTCAGGTCTACTGCCCGTCACTTCCTTCTCTGTTAGTTTTGTGAATTTCTATCGCTATTGTTATTGCTACTATTATGTCCTTTCCATTGTTGCTCTCACTGCGACCGGGTCAATTTACCGACACCCCCAACAGCACTCAGATACTAGGCAAAAAAAAAGGTGAGTGCGTGCGGGGGGGGGGAACGTGGGAAGGATTTGCATTTACTTTTTTTTTTATTGGTTGCGATCAACGCCATGCGACTACGCTTGAGCGCGGCCTCTGGCAGGCTATCGCGAACCCCGCTGTGCCACGCACTCTGGTGGGGCGGATGTCAGGCTATGTGCATGACGAAGCCAACGCGGTCGTTGCTGCGTGCGCCCAGCGAAGCCCCAGAGGTGCTGCAAGTGGAGCTGCTGGTGCCGGATGACGTCACTGCAGGCAGTAACAATAACAGGAACACGTACAGCAACGGTGACGGCGACGACGCGGATGACTTTGCAGAGTTGGAAGAGAACGAGGCAAGCAAAGATGCTGCTGCGGAGACGGTCACGACTGTCGATGCCTTCGCTCGGGCGAAAGTGGCAAATTTTGTGAAGCGCATGTTGTCCAGTGCGTCTGCGAAGTCGTCGCAGTCTGCTGCTGCTGCGGGTAGCCTGTTGACAGAGGTCCGAGAAGTGCAGACCACAGGCGACGAGGAAGCGCTGTTCCACGCCAGGGTTCGTGTCCCACTTCCTCCCGAGTATGGCGAGCGCTGGGGGGAAGGATTGGCTCCAACCGAGAAGGAGGCTGAGCTGGTGGCAGCCATGCATGCGGAGCGCGTTATTGACGCTATGGGGCTCCCGATGTTTCAGCTCACGTCGAAGCAGAAACGGCACGCAGAGGCGGCCCGAAACGCAGGACGATGGGCGCCAATGCCAGGCGACAGTCCCCGACCTCCCACTACACCCTCCCCGCCGCGACTGCAGCTGCTGCGCGAGGGCGCAATGAAGGCGGCGGAGCGGCAGCTCCAAATTGACAAGATGACATTTTCTAATGTCACGGTGGGTTCTTTTACTCCCATGAAATTAACATTGGCCTCTCCTTTTTTTCTTGATTATGGAAGCGTCTACCGTGTAAAAGAGTTTTTTGCGGCATATAACTGCAATATTCAGCGCTATTCGCGTGTGACACCGCTTCATAAATGCAACGTTAAGGACAAGCCTGTTGTGGGTGGGGAAGCGATGGCGCCTACGAGTGATGGTGCTGATGATAGTAATAAAATGTTTGTTGCACAAATAAAATTGCCTATTGATGGACGATTTGGGGAACGTATTGCATGTGGCAAATCGCCGACAAAGAAGGAGGCGATTGCGCTCGCATGTATGCATGCCGAGCTCATTATAGATGCACTAGGACTTGCGTTGTATCCTTCTAACAGAGAGAAGCAAGAGACCCATGCGGAGGAGTGCAGAAAAGTGAATCGTTGGTGTAGCAGACCTTCCGACTGCGAGTATCACTACACAAAGTCCTCCCCACCGCCGCTTCAACTCTTCAAAGAGGGCGTGCTGACGACTGCGACTGAGGTGGACTCCGTGGCTAGTGTGGAATCCGTTCTTATAAGTCACGCTAAGGCCATTGAAGGGTTTACAAACGTAACGGAGGTGCGAAAACTTGAACCAGCTTCCCGCCGAGATTTTTTGAACTATCTTGCACAACACCAGAACGGTTCAATTGGCGTGCGTGCTCCATTTTTTGTGGAGTCCCTTGGCATAAAGGATCATGAGGTGTATCGGGCAACCGCAACAGTCCCGGTTCCGTTGTTGGCGGCCAAGACGCCACCTGCAGGGTCTATGAACGTGCATGGTAATGAGGATGCCGACTTGGTATCCTTTGTGGCTATTGGAATTGGGACATCAGAGATGGAAGCTGAAACGGCTGCCTCAATGCACGCTCTCAGCGTGCTCAAGCTACTTAACCGCCCGTTACTGGGAGACACAAGCACCGAATGTGAGGGCCTCCCACAACACAATCTTACCCGTGATACAATCATTCCTGCGCCGTACCGTTATGTTGTGGGTCACATCGGACGCATCATGGTTCCAGGGCTCTCGCCGGGAAGGAGCATTGGTGTTCCACCATCGACTGCGCGGCAGCGTGGGCCTTCGGCGGAGAGCCGTGAGGAGCGGCTTCGCAGCGTGCGTGCAGGGTTACCAAAGAGTGACTGGTCATTGGATGCCGATGCGGATGGATATATCATCCTTAGCCCAAGCATGAACGTGCAGGAAGGTCGAAATTACGTGCACACGCTTCCCTCAGTCCGTCAGGCAGATCGCTTTGCGCTGGTCCGATTGAGGGACTACATGGAGCGTCATGGGAAGCGGTTAGAGAGCGCCGTGAAGACCTGCATGCTTGAAACTGACGAGGGACTGACACGATGGGTGAAGAAGGTTATCCTTCCGGTACCTGAGGTGTTTGGTCAGGCTGTGGCACACGGGGAGGCTTACGCAGAGGAGGAGGCGCTTGTTATGTGCGCTGTGCACGCCGAGCTTGTTCTTGACAATCTTGGGGTTGCGCTTTACGATCATAACCTTCTCCAGGTAAAACACTGCGACGCTGCGGGATTGCTGGGTCGATGGGTGCCGTATGAAACACAGTCGGCGCAAAGGGCTGTCCCTACTCCGCCGCCGATACGAAAAGAACATGTGGACTCGTGCCTATGGGCGCGTCTTTCTAAGGAGGCAAGGAGGGAGAGCCCGGTTCTTTGTGGCGAGGGTCTGAAGCCTATAACCCCAACAGTTCCCCTCGTGCGTGAGGATAATACGGCAGCAAGTGAAAAAACTCCCACGGCCACGGCGGCAACTGGACCCACAACAACGGCTTCCTCGGCTTCTTCCGGAGTGACAGATGATGCACTTTGCGACTTGGCGGGATTAGTCTCGGTTCACCCTTCCGAGTTCTTCCGTCACGCGCCACGGTTGCTTGAAGGTTACTGCAAGCGTAAAGGCGTGGACATTTATCGCTGTGTGCGACAATATAACGTTTATAATCCTTGCTACGGTCTTGTGCATAGAGCCATTATGGAATTGCCCGTGCCAGCACAATTTGGCCGACGCCATGCTGTGGGATGTGCTGCCTCAAAGAAAGAGGCTCTCCTCTTGTGTTGCATGCATGCAGTTTATATTCTTGGAGAACTGGGGGTGCCTATTTACATTGGGTCGAAGCAGGCGGAATATGCCGCTATCGCCAAGTCAAAAGGGCGTTATGCCCCGAAGCCAGGTGACCCGTTGAGATCTGCTGATACAAAGTCCCCGCCAGGTCTTAAAAGTCTTCAAGACATGCACATGGAGAAGCCGCTGGTGCCGAGGCCACCGTCTTTCACAGAATGCCACAAATCATTTGTGTGGAGTAGTTATGTGACAGCATGCCGAGGATACATACAGAAGATGAAGGAACATGTGGTACTTGATGCCCTTTTTATACAGGGGAAGGCACCACGAAATGGAGTGGTGATAGAGGATAACGGTCTCGACGTTATTGAAGGCCTGCCACTTTTTGCAAATGCCAAGTCTAAATTGGTGCAGAAGTGTGCTGCTGCCAGACTACCGGCGCCGCCTCCTATGGCATTTCGCTTTGAAGTCTACGGCCGTCACCCACATCGACGCTACTTGGTTGAGCAACCGGTGCTTGGAACTCCGTTTGTGGCGCGTGGAATGGGGGAAGAGGGACAAGGGGCCGTCACACGAGCGGCAATGCACTACGAATACATTGTGGGAATAATCAGTGACCCTCTGCTAGGGAGTGCGGAAACAGGGAACATGTTGAGAAACCGGCATGGTGACCTGTTTGATCCCGTGCTTCGCGATTTCACACCACGCGGGAAATTGGCCATCATGGCACTTTACACAACGCTGCGAGACCCCTTTTTGCCGCTGCGTCTGACACTAAAGGAACGCAATAGCTCGGCAGCCGGAAATCAGTTGGTTTACGTCTCCCTTGTTGAAGTGGAGGATGAGAGTGGACTACGCATGGCAGGAAAAGGGGAGGACCGCACCAACGTCGAGGAGTCACGTAATAGGGCAATTGCCGAGCTCTATAAACAGCTGCAACGTAAGTCCACATTTCAGGCGGTGGCTCAATTGCTGCAGACTTACCCAGCACTCCGTGCCGAGGGTGCTGCCCAAATTCTTGTTGAGAAAAAATCTATGGCAGGCCTTCGGTTGATGCTGGCGGGGCGCGATGCTTTACCAGCAGCAGCACTAACTACACCACCACCACTGGAGCTGTCTGAATGGGGTGGAGTAGCAACTCTGCTGCGCGGAGGCGAAGCCCATCTAGACTCCCCAGAGCTGCAACTGCTTTGCACCCTCGTGGAGCGTGCACTCGGGTCTGCGTCGACGCCGATTCCACTCAATTTGCCTGCAGCACCACAACATCTTTTGCGTACAATGGGGTTTTTGAGCACCTGCGGAACGGGTGAAGGCAACGGGACGCCTCAGGCGAATACAATGGGAGTGGCTGTGACATTATTGGCTTCATGTTTGCCGCCGTTGTCACCTGTACATGTACATGGGGAATTTTTGCCTTTGACGAGTGGTGCGCTTCCCTTGCAGCTTGCCAAACTTCTCTTTGCGGGGTTATTGTTGGACTCGTTACATGTATGTGTTCGTGTGGCTGCCCTGGTACTTTCTTCCTTCATTATTGACGGTGACAGCTGCCGAGGTGGGGATGTGGTGGAACTTGTGCCTCTAGAGCTTCCGCAAAGTGCCAAGCGTCTCGCCACGGACATCGCAGCACGACTTTATGGTTTGTCAAGCCAGTTGAGGAAGTTGACGTCTCCGTCTTGCACACTTACAGCACTGATGGACGCCTCTCGCGTGGTGGCGGATGGTGGTTGGGGTTCCTTGCAGGAGGGATGGACGATAAAGGAGGAGGCACGTCTGCGCCTTGCTGTTTCATTCGCCACCTTCCCAAGAGCGTTTATTCAGCGGAAAGTTGCCACCGACGATGTACTTCGTCTGATAACAGTGGAGTCAAAGGATCGTCAGCGAACAGCACGCATTGCTGTGCCATCTACATTGGCAGTAGTTGGCAATTTGTCTTCCGACATTGCAGCTTCCTCTACGTCTTCTTCCTCCTCTGTAGCATCATCCTTGTCGTCATGTCATTCTTTTTTTCCGTGTTTCTGTGCCTTTGACGGGGCTTCCACTGGGGAAGGAGAAGAACTGTCTCTTTTGGGGACGTTTGTCCCGCCGTGTGGACTGCTGCTTGCAAGTGCGTCTTGCGATGAGCCACGTGCGGTGGTCGTTGCTGATGATGTGCCAAATATAGCGATTGTAGACGGATTTTTGCCGGTTGTGATGCGGTCGGCAGAGTCACTCGCTGCTCTCGTGGAATTGCGTCTCACGTTGAGGTGCCACTGGGCCGCGCTGACGCCGCTGCTGGCTGACATACAAGACATTGTGGACAAACTCCTGGTGGCGAAGCACTCCCTGGCCCATATTCTTCGGGCCAAGTTGTTGGACTGAGGGAAGAGAGCGAGAGACCGCGAGGGAGGAGGGAGGTATGTCACACGTGGGGCTGTGTGGCTGGTGGGTTGCGTGGGTGGCGCAGGATATATGGCTGCATATTTCACTTTTCTCGCGTCATTTGCACTTTCCTCTTCTCTTTGCGTTTGCCACTTTTTGGTTTACGTCTTTTTTTTTTTTTGTAATGAGCAGGTGTGTGTTGAAGGCTACACAGGTAGGGGCCTCTACGCGAAGAGGAAGAAGACACGAAAGGAAACTACAAAAAACTTGAGGACACTTTGAGCAGCCACACTCGAAGGGCTTCACTTCACGCTTAGGTGGGACGTGGCGATCAGACGGCAGGAGAACGGGGCGAAGTATTGGCCGCACACACACACCACACAGGGGCGGGACAAGGACAGCACGAAAGGATGCCGCTCCCACTGGGGGCGTCGATCAGTGATCCAAACTTTGTGTTTCTGCAGATTTTACACGCCATGAGCCTCTTCTTTATCATACTTGGTGTGGCGCGTGTGGTGCTTGGTATTCTGTCGCTGGCGCTCATTGACAGCAGCGCCGTCTCCCTCCCGCTCTTCACTTCACTAGGACTCTGTTTTCATGTGCCACTTCGCTCACTTTTTGTGGTGAAAGTGGAAGAAGTTTTGGACGGATCCGGCATGCGTTTTTTTATCATGCATGTGTTGGCTGCGCTTGGTTTGTCAGGTCCGCTCGCTCTTACGATTCAGCGCCGCAAGTATACACTTGACTTCGCATTCACACTATATGTCATCTACTACGTATTTTCCTGCGTTGCAGCTAAGCGGCTGACGGGGGGCGGGTTTGCGTGGTGGCTGTCGGTGCTCGCGGGGTTCTGCGTATTGTACAGTGTAGCCTCCTTCTTGTGTAGGCGGCGTGAGCTGCAGGATATCTTTTTCCCGTTACCCACGTCGTCGTCGGCTGCTGCTGCTGCTGCTGCTAGCAGTAGTGGTGGCAGCGGCGGCAATACCACGACTGCTGGTGGTGGTGGTGGTGGTGGTGGTGGTGGCGATGTGATGATGACAACGTTGAGTATTGCAATGGATACAAACGGCGGCGACGCAGAGGTGAGTCCTTTTGGGGGTGGCGGCATGTCCCCGCGCAAGGCGGTAGAGGCGGTGCTGATGGGTCCAGGCAGCGCTAGGAAGCGGCGGACTTAGCAGTGGCAGTAGTAGTCATTGTGCGGACGTGGTTTCTCTCTTTACCACTTCCCATTCCCTCCTTTTATGTTTCTGCGGTCCTGTGCATGATTGACTCTGCAGTGTTGTTTTCAACACCATACCCACCTCGTCTTGCTCTTTCTCAGAATGCCTGACATTCCGCTTTCAATCCTATTTGCGAACCTGAAATAGATTCTTGCTCTTTCGCTTTGTTTTCCCCGAATTCTTTCTCTGCTCTTGCGTTGTGGTGTTGCTGCAACCCACCGAAGGAAGCCGCAGTGGCAGCGATCAAGTGGCAGCAACCATCCAACTGTTTTGATAATTAAGATTCCTCACCATTAGAAGAAACCCCACAAGCAAGTCATACTGCGAGAGGGGAAGCAGATCTTGAAGAAGGCGTAGCACACCAAGGGACCTCTTCTGAGGGGAATTGCCATATTATTATTATTATTATTTTGTCTTTCTTTTTTTTTCTCTCTCTTTCTCTGTAGTTGCTTCTTTGGTCAATTGTGCTTAACGTCACAGATGTGGTTGCCCCGTGCTATATGGGCGATCATTCTTGCCGTGGTTGTCATGATGGCTGTGCCGTTAGTTGTGGACGCCTTCTACATTCCCGGTGTGCAGCCCAAATACTATGCAGAGGGCGAGACAGTGCCGTTTATGGTGAACTCTCTCCGTTCCCTGAAGGTGCTGTTTCCACAGCGGTACTACAAGCTGCCGTTTTGTGCGCCCAAGACACTTGAAACAAAGGCGGAGGCCATTGGTGAGGTTATCTGGGGGGACTACATTCAGAACTCCCTTTACTCGGTAAATATGAAGGAAAACTCCACCTGCACGCTACTCCCTGATTGCGACGTGGAGGAGAACAATCGGAACATCAGGAGAAAAATACGCATGATGGAAAAGTACATTGAGAGTGGCTACCGAGGCTTTATGAACATTGACAATCTTCCCGTCTTTGGGGATGGACTGCCTGAGTATCTTGTCTCTTGCAAGGGTAAGTTAAAAGACATGCAGTACAGCTTCTACCGTGGCTACGCCCTCGGTGTGCCCCGGTTGTGTCTCGGCAAGACACTCATTAACAATCATCTGGATTTTGTCATTGAATACAACACCGCTCCAGGGGATAGCAGCAAGTTTATGGTTGTTGGTCTACGGGCGACACCCCACAGCATTAAGTACGACGATGCAAACAGCTGTAACAATACTATGAAATTCCGGAGAGGCGAGATGGCGTTTCTCACCACAGATGACGTGCGTGAGGGTGCGAAGGTATACTGGACGTATAGTGTTGCATGGCAGCCTTCAAACGTTCTTTGGGCAACACGTTGGGATGCCTATCTTCATAGCTCCTTGGCAGACTCTAGTGCTGCTTTTCATTGGCTTTATGTTTTTAGTAGCCTGCTGATTGTTTTTTTGTGTGCTACCGCCGTTGCCATGGTATTGATGCGAGCCTTACACAAGGATTTTAACCGTTACAATTCTCCTGATCAGGATGACAATCAGGAGGATACTGGCTGGAAACTGGTTCATGCAGATGTGTTTCGTACCCCGTATAGAGCGCCACTGTTGGCCGCACTCGCAGGGAATGGGTTTCAGGTACTGGCCATGTTCAGTGGTGTATTACTCTTTGCACTGTTGGGCTTTCTTTCTCCCGCGCGGCGTGGTGCTCTTCTGACCGCCATCATTCTCCTTTTCGTGTTTATGTCAGTTGTGGCTGGGTATATGTGTGGGTTACTGCTTAAGTATTTTAACCGTTGTGAATGGAAACATGTGTTCTTCTGCGGTTGTGCCTTCCCTGGGACAATAGTCGCTGTCTACACCTTTGCGAACACGATCAACTGGGCACACGGCTCCACGGACACCGTACCCTTCTCTGTCTTGTTTACCATCTTCTTGCTGTGGCTGCTGATCAGCTTGCCACTGACGGTGTTGGGTGCGTCCTTCTCATTTAGGCAGGAGCCACTCTCGAACCCTGTGAGAGTAGGACGGTTGGCGCGGGAGATTCCACCACAGGCGTGGGCAAACAGTCCCGTATTTTTGTACACCATTCCACCCATCTTTCCTCTTTTTGCAATTATTTTGGAGCTAAATTTTGTACTGCAGGCTCTGTGGGCCGGCCAGGTATATTACGTTTTTGGTTTTCTTGCCCTGGTCTTTCTGCTCTGGGTCATCATTACGGCCCTCGTGACGGTTTTCCACCTCTACTACGTTCTCTGCTACGAGAACCATCAATGGTGGTGGATCAGCTTTATTCTTCCTGGAGGACTAGGAGTTCACGTTTTTGTGTACTCGATCTACTTCTATGCGACCCAGCTTGCCATAAGCTCGTTTGCCTCAACGCTACTGTACTTTATGTACATGGGGTTGCTCTCTTATGCCTACGGCCTCTCAGCAGGGGCGATTGGGCTCATTTCCGGCATATTTTTTTTGCGCAAGATATACGGGAGCATTAAAGTTGATTGAGAAGGCGGTTCTGGGATACTGGGAGTCATACATTTTTACATTTGTTGCTTGCTGCGTGGTGAACGATGGTTAAACACCAACCTGAGGAGGGAGGGGACCTTCACTGCGTTAAATGCACGTGGGCTACGGAATAAACGATGTAGAATAGGAAAGAGGGAACAACAGCGACAAGGTGGCGAAGAACGGAAATGAGAAAACCGATATATATATATATATATATATATAAATAGAGGAATAAAACGGAAAAACTTGAGGCATGGGAGAGGAGAGTAGTAGTGGAATCATCAGGCGAAGGAATAGTAAACAGAGCGAACACGGTGAGTGGGAAATAAATGAGTTATGGCACGTCTGACCAAGACGCAGAGTTACAACGCATACGTGTGTGTATTTGTGCGTTTTTGGATTTTGATGTTTTGCTGCGTATGCGTGAGCGTCTACAAACAAGGAAAATTAATGCTGTTTTCTTTTTACTATTATTTTGCTCTTCCAGATCATACTTGCCAGGTGGTTTTTTTTTTTTTCTTTGTCCTGGTTTTTCTTTGTGCTTGTGTTGTTTCTCTCTTCATTGCGTCCACGTTGCTATTTTTTTTTCTTTCTTTCTGATTATGTGCGTGGGACTTTTCCGTTAGGTGAGTTGTGATGGAGTCGCTTTCGAGTGAGCGCCCTGCGGTGTCGGTGAGTGGCCCTCTCACGCATCATCGTGCCCGCACGGTGCTATTGGAGCAGTTGCGGGACCTGCACAAGCAGGAACAACAAGGGCAGAAAGAAGGTGGTCACCTCACTTTGTCGACGAGAGCGCCGCACGTAGAGGGGGGTAATAACGACGAGAGCGGTGATGATGATGATTCTAATGAGGCGGCTCCCATGGCAGTGCGGTTCGTGCGTACATGTCCTCCACTCACGGACCCCACATGGGCGATGGAGGAGTTGCTGCGGATAGACCCAAATGTGACACTGTGGACGGGCACTGGTTTGTCCAAGGCCGTGTGGGCGCCTCCCGGAAGTGGTCACTGCCCTTTTGGAACGACGGAGGCGGACTTCATACGCCATCGCTAAGGGTGTGTAGTATTCTGTGGTCTGTTTGTTGTTGTGCAGAACTTCCTCTTCTCAGTGCCGTTGTGGTGCTGGCGGTCAAGTTCCCTGTTTTTGAGATGTTGCTGGTGGACGTTAGTGTACATGCAGGTATAATATATATATATATATATATATAATATATATATATATATACTGTTGTGCGATTTCTTATTCCCCTCTCCCCCCTTCCACATTTATTTCTTTTTGTATGGGTGTGTGCTCAATAGGAAGCGGTGGAGTGCACAGGCGTGCAGAAGGGCAGAATGAAACTCACAGTGAAGTGCTCCATGGGTGGGGAGACCAGCACCGCGAAGGAGCTCGTGATACACAACCCCGCAGCAACGCTTAGTAACCTGCGCGCTGCCATCGCTATTAACTTCCGCCTACCAGTTCACGGTTTTCGCATGATTCACGACACCGCGGAGCTTAGCTGCGAGAAGGTGCTACTTTGTGACAGTGGGATTCGCGACGGTGACATCATCGTCGTGGACGGCAAACGCGAGCGAGAAGGGGAGGTGACGGATAACAAACTTGACCCGAAACGGGACGCGGAAGTGCCTCTTAGTCAGCAGCAGCCTTCTGAGCCCAGTCAAGCGGACATCGCCCCCACGCCTGTAGTGACGATGACCGTGGCGCCAGCTTCTGCCAAGCCGACTGCCGTCGAGGGAGGTGGTGAGAGAGTTTGGGCGCCAGATGTTCTTGATGAGGGTGAGAGAGCAGCAGTCGATGATGAGGAGGAAGAGGAAGAAGAAGAGGAAGACGGTCCCGCGGAGTTGCTGAGCCACCTCCTTGGAACTGTTCCAAATCTAGTGGAAATGCGACGACAGTTTCTGACAAATCCAGCAGAAATTATGCAGCAAATTCGGGAGAGTGATCCGCGCCTCTTGGAGCTTATTACAGGCAACTATCAGGAGTTTCTTGACCTTGTGAACAATGAGGAGCTTGTGGCTACCCTGCAGCAGGAGCAGGATGAGGCGCATGCGGCACTGTTTGACGAGGAGGAGGAGGAGCTCGATGAGGAGACGGAAGAGGTTGTTGACTCCCTTTTAGCGCAGCTTATGGCAGGAGGGGACCTGTCAGAGGAGGTGGGAAACGGGGCGTTGGCGACGCAGAACTACTTGGAGAGGCCACTGACCGAGGAGGACGAAGCGAAAATTGAGCAGTTGATGCAGCTGGGCTTTACAAGGGATCAATGCAAAGTGGCCTTTTTCAAAGCTAAGCGAAGTCTGGAACGTGCGGCAAACCTTCTGTTTGAGGACCCTCCACAGTTGTAGTGGTTTGCTTCCACGCTATTTATCTGTCACATGCATGACTAAATGTCTTTGCGATACGGCGGTGTACCAACGAGCCGGCGGTTTTGTCTCCTCTCATTTTCATCGCATTCTGCTTCGCCGTGCACCCCTTTCCCTTAGTCCCCGGCAATTATGCTGCGCCACACGCACCTGTAGTTGTCGGTGAAGGTTAACAAGATACAGAAATGATAAGATAAATACATATTTCTCGTTAAATGAGTGGTGATGCGAGTTTTTTTTACTTTTTTGTCATACTTTGCGTACTTGCTCTTTTTATCGTTCATAAACACATGCAATAGAGGTGTGCATGTGTCTGTATGTGGGCGCGTGTGAGTGTCTCTTCTTCTTGCCTTTACAGACTGCAAACTCACAAACACCACCCCCCCCCCCCCCCCCTCCTCGTGATCTTGATGAGGCAAAAGGAGGGAGTGGTAACAGTTTAGCAAGAAAAGATGTCGAGTGCCGTTCAAACTATTGTCACCAGCGTTGAAGGGCGTTTCCTCCTCCTCGGGTGCACCGATGGTCTCAGGGCGTATGATATCCAACCAACGGGGGTGGTGAAAAAACTAATTCCAAGTCCTGGCGAGACGCCAGCACCTCGCGGTTGCCGCGCGGTGGGAGGCCCCGTTCGTGCAGCTGCTGTCCTTGGGCAAACCCCACTGCTAGCATTTGCTCTCGAAGGTGGCGTGGCCCCCGAGTTAGTTTCCGAACAAGCGGTGGAGGGAGCCGTAGTAGGTGGCGAGTCGACCTCATCTGTAGCATCGACCTCGCGCGTTCTTTACTTGTACGATGCGGCTAAGAGTCAGACAATGGCGGAGCTGCACTTTGAGACCGCAGTTGTGGGAATTAAGATGAACGTCCGACGTTTGGTTGTCGCATTGGTGGAGTGCATACACGTTTTTGATCTTACAACGCTGGAGCACCTTGCGGAGTTGCGCACGGCATCTCCGCCCAATCCAAATGGTCTCCTTGTGCTCTCAGAACTGACGACGAACGTCCGTGGCGAAGCCGTCAGTTACTTGGCTTTCCCACAGTCAGACCAGGGCTACGGGGATGTATGGGTGGCTCAAATCGCGGAGACGCAGATGGACCATAACGGCGAATGCAGTGGTAAGGGGAACACCTTTTGTGGAGAGCGGTGCGGTTTTGTTGAGCGCGTGTCTATTGTGAAGGCACATCATCGCGCGGTGGTGTGCCTGGCGATGACGCGAGACGGCACGAGACTCGCCACCGCCTCTGAACGAGGTACCACTGTGAAGGTCTTTGAACCTTCTTCTGCCCGGTTGTTGTACCATTTTCGCCGTGGCGTGAAGGTCGCACGGATGCTTTCTCTCTCGTTTGATCCAGCCTCTGCTCTGTCGGGGTTGCGGCTTGCTGCTCTGAGTAACCGGGGAACGCTGCATGTTTTTCGATGCTCTTCCGCAGGTGGAAGTGAGGTGGTGACCCCGGCGCCAGCCCTATTATACACGGGCTTGGAATTACGGAGCTTTGCCCAGGCGACGGTTGGTAAGGCGTCCGCCGCGTCGTCTGCGCCACCGGGTCTTGGATTGGACGACAAGACAGGATGCGAAGTGCAGTGTTGCTTTTTTTCTGAGAATGAACGTTTTGTATTTGTCGTGCTCCCGGAGCCGTGTGCGCTGGGGGAGGATGCCGCTTGTGCACACGAGGAATGGAGTGGCGGCGCCTCGTTACTGCACGAGCAGAGCGGAGTCGTCACTTCTCGCTGGACGCTGCAGAAGTACCGCATCCACATGCACGAGTGCACGCTCGTGGATTCGTACGTGCTGAACTGAGCGGATGCGGAATGGCGTTGTGGCCACAATTTTTTGAGGAGTAGACTGAGTCTCAAAAAAAAAAAAGACGGTGTAACAACGAAGTCAAAGAAACATATATATATATATATATGAAATACAGTGAATAAGGCTTCCGCGTTTGGCGTCCACCCCTTATGACTCTTCAGCTGTTTTTTGTTTTTCTTGCCATTCCTCCCCCCCACCCCCTTCTTCCTACTTTGCTCATGTGTGTAGGCGTATGCGTACCGTTTTCTTTTTTTTATTCTGTCTCAGAGGGACAGGGATGTTCACTATGACACTTGAAGTACTCTTTTTTTTTTTTCTTCTTTTTTTCGCGCGGACGGCTTTGCGTGGCCTTGAGGGCGAAGAGCGAGTTTGTTTCCTACAACCCTTATGAAGCGACCTCACGTCTTTCCTTCCTTCTGTTGCTTGCTTGGTTTTTGAACTTTGTTTTATGTGTGTGTGTGTGCATATGTGCACGTGGTCGGTTCTTTGCGCATGGTTCATCAGGTGCAAGGCGGTTTGAGTACAACGACTATTCCGATGAGAGTATGATACATAACGGAGGTGACACTGCTGCTCTTGCCTCCTGCAATGTGGAAGAAACACTGCAAAGTGATCACAGTAGTGGCGGTGACGAGGATGAACGCGTGGTCCTTAACGAGATGCCGAAAAAAATGGCTGGGGTGTATGGGCCTGGACATGTAGATGCCTCTATTGCGGGTAGGGAGCCGCAGCCTGAGGTATTCAGCACTGTGGACTGGGCCTCGGCGGAGAGACTCGGGTTTCCGCCGAGTGCTGATTTGAACGTACGAGCAGCGGAGGTGGCCGCAATGCCTCTGATGCGGTTGTCGGCGCAGCGATGCGAGAAACACTGGCAGAGTTCCTCGCGAAGCCTGTCGTTGCGCACCACCGCAACCACCAAGGTGGCGGAGTTCATGCAGCAGGCGGTATGGCGTCACGGCATTTCACGGCACTTGCGTGGTGTGCTATGGCTGACGCTCTCTGGTGTCGCAGCGAAGATGGAGGAGAATCAGGGTTTCTGTCGGGCACTACTGAAGCGTCACGGGTACATTCGTGGTGAGTATGCAGAGACCATTGAGAAGGATCTGCACCGTACGTTTCCCGAGCATCGATATTTTGCGCAGGATGGAGTGGGACTTCGAAAGGCACGGAACGTTCTGCACGCCCTTTGCTGGCGCAACCCACTGTTGAACTATTGTCAGTCCTTTAACTACCTTGTCGCCTTTCTTCTGCTCGTGACGGATGATGAGGAAAGCACCTTCTGGCTCATGTGCCACTTACTGGAGAACCTATTACCCAATGACTTGTATTCGGAGACACTCATAGGGACCAAGGTGGATCAACTCGTGCTCCAGGAGATTCTCCAGGAACGTCTTCCGCGTCTTGCACGGCACTTTGCAGTGGTACACTTTGATGTTGGGGCGCTGATTTCGGCGTGGGTCATGGCGCTGTTCATTAACGTGTTCCCTGTGGAAACAGTGTTGCGTGTATGGGATTGCCTCTTTGCTGGTAGGAGCAACACCAATGAACCCACATGTGTACCGCTTGAAGTAGTCCTGGCAGTGTTACAGCTGTGTCAAAACTCTCTGCTTCGTTGCGATGATGCGGGCGATGTTATTACGTGCCTAGACAACGCTGCAAGACGTTTGTTTGACGCGGACAAACTCCTTCAGCTTGTCCGCGGGATGCAGCTTTCACCGTGGACAGTGCGGGATATGCGTCGACGTGCAAGGCCGGCGGTGGTGGAGGAAAACTACAGGCAAGAAAGGCGTCGGCAGGAACTGCTTGAGAGGCGCCAGTTAGAATAAGAAGAAAAGGCTCATGACGGAATGCGTCAACCGCAGAAACGTGAGAACGAGAAAGAGGGATCAAGGTGGGTATGGCGGCAGGAGGACCCGCAACGGATCTCCAAGGCGTACGCTTCTTCAGGGTATCACCAGTTCTCATCTTCAGCGCCGCTGACAGAGCCTTATCATGGGGAATACTGTGACTACTTTGCCTGTACGGGGTTTGTGGAGCAGATTGATGTGAATGCGTGGCATCCTCTGAAGGAGACCAACTTCTGTCTTGAAAGGGCATGGGAGGAGTTGGGAGACGACCATGAACCCGCTGTGGTGCCTGCATTTCTTGTTGGGACCACACGGTGGTGGAGAATGGAGGACAGTGTCGGGCATGAAATGGAGAGTATCCACGAGACAGCCGGGGATCAAGCAGGAACAAGAGCATTGTCCACGTATATGTGTGAAGCAACGGGGGAAGGCGTGAGGTAAATGTTTTGCCTGAACAATTTTCTCTTGAGCGCGTGTTCGTTATTCTTGGCATTGCTTGTCGTCCTCGTGTATTGCTTCGGTTTTCGTTTTATTGGGCGTTTGTGCGCATGTTTTTTTTTTTCCTTTTTGGAGTTTGTTGAGTCTGCCTACCTCTTTGTGCCTTGTTACGTTACTCGGAAAGGGCACCTTCTTTTCTCTTGTTTCTGCTGGAGTTTTATCGCCGGATCTTCCGGTAGCTGTTGCGAGGATTGTACTCCCTGTTTCTTTACCTTTACCCCTTTCAGTTTTATTTTGCCGTCACGGACGCTGGTGGCGGCGCTGGTGGGGATTTGGGTGCTGGCCGGGCAAATAAATACTTTAAAAAAAAAGAAAAAAAAACAAGAAACATGGCGCGAGGAAGACGTGCGTCATCTGTGACGGCAAAATCACTTTCGGCGAAATCATTGGCGTCGGCTTCACCAGGGAGGAAAGGGGGACGGAAGTTGCCGGTTGTCACCTCAACGTCCATCGCCGCGGCACTTCGACAGGCCTCCTGTGACGCTGACAAGAGTGCTGTGGGTGTGCGTGGAAAGGCGGGGGCAGAGACCAAATGGCAAACTGCACGCAGGGTAGTCCTGCAGTCCCGTCCGCAAGGCAATTGTCTACGCCTACAGCAATCGACACCGGAAATTAGCTTTTGGAAAGGACTTTGCCGACCAGCTCTGTTGGTGCAGGCACTTGCAAGTATTGGGACACTGATTGAGGCAGACACGGCGTTGCTTTTCACTAATTCCCAGGTGCAGTACCCGTTTTCGGCACTGACGGTGCAGCGCGTGGTGGTGGCTATTCAAGCTATCGTTGACGCCTTTCAACTTCTACGAACCGTTGGAAACGAGGAGGACGCTGTACTACAAAGGTGGGAAGTCATACGGAAGCTGGTTGAACTGGCTGAAGCTGCAGTCCCTATGAAGGTGTCTCTTCTTGTCAGTTTTTCCACTGCATGCAAGAGCAACACGGCGGGTGTGCCTCCAACCAGCCTTTGGGCCTTAGAGGAGCGTTTGCGACGGTTGCAACGTCTGTTGCAGTTGCGTGAGAGTCATGTACGCATCATGTCGATGCTCCGCCTTTGTAAGACGAAGCGTGAGGTGTCAGCAGCTCTCTTTGGCCCCGAAGCGGATGGGACAGCCACTTTCGAACCGATGCCTGGCGTGGCCTCGTGGCATCAAGGGGAGCAATGTGTGATTAAAGGCTTGATGGTGGAGGTGAATGACATACGCCCCTGCAGTGACTCATGGGGTGACTCATCTATCGTCCCACTTCGTGTCACCGGTGGCTCCTATGTTCTTCACAAATCTTCCCGCGTTGAAACTCTGGCGTGTTTATTGAGGGTCGCCGAGTTCATTGGTCTCCCTCCTTTTTTGCGCTCCATCCGTGTTGCGAGTGCACGAGCGCGTGAATTCCAAGTGCAGTCGTTTGACATGATGTCAGTAACTGATAACGCCTTGTCTATTCACAAGGAACGTTTGCCGTTGCTTTTTCCGTCACCGGACGACTTGGATCCTTGTTGCTTTGAGGTCCAGGCTTCCAACCAAGCGCAGCTTGTGCAGGAAGAACTCATTAGGTTGGCGAGTCAGCACTGCTGCTTTGGTGCGTTGGTGGGGGAGGCAGACCAGGTGGTGGACTTGCTGCGCACCAGCGCGGCATGTGCAGGGCGGGCAAAAACTAAGTCGTGCAACATGCAGACGTCGGCGGTAAAGATTGAGCAGACAGAGGACGACGGTAGCGACAGACCCCCGCAGCAGTTAGCGCGGGATGCATTGAACAGGCACTGCCACGATCCACTTCGCACGTATGCTCAATCGCTTCTTCAGGCTGCGAGGGAGGGCGACAGTAAACCCAGCCGTGTGCGTTGGATTTGCAGCAATCGTTGGAGCCCTACGATGTGTTACTACGCATTGGTGATTGCCGCGGCGCCACCCCAAGACAACACTGATATCGTGGTGGAAGAAGGGAGAGGGGGAGAAGATCGAGAAGCCGGTGCTATGACGTCGTATTACGTCGCCGCGGTTATGGAACTCGCGCGTTTTTAGTGACGTTATGATCCCACAAGAGGGACTCCTGTGCTATCGCGAGGCAATACCACTAATTTTTCGAGCATCACCTCTCCGTATGCCTCAGGATTTTCGGTATTTTTCGTTTGTACTTTTTTTGTTTCTTTGTTGCTGTTGTGTTATTTTGTGTGTCGGTCCCGCGTGCCTGTCCAGGTGTAGGAATAGTGTTTCTGGCTGAAGTGACGTTAGTAGTGGCCGGTGGCAGCGAAAAGGTAGAGTGGGAGGGCTTAGGAGGTGCTGTTTGGTCTGGTCATAATGTTGCACATCACTTCAGCATGCCGAGGTGGATATATGATGTACCACCGCAAGTCCATGGGAACGATGAAGTACAGTAGGTGGAAAGGCGCACACGGTGGTGTCAGTCACTTTTATGGAAGAACCCCTATGTTGGAGGAGGTGAAACGCAATGAACCCGTTACTTTGATTGATCGTCGAATTATGCACTACGTGCACCGCTCGCGGCTTCGTCACTTTCAGCTGTTTCGTTCATATCAACAGAAGTCAAACGCAACGGAGTGCAAGTTGCGTGAGGGGGAGATGCTGCGTCGCCGCTGGCATCGAAGGCTGCAGAAGTCATTTATTGCCTTTATGCAATTTAAGACGATGAAGGTACTTGAAGACCAGGCGAGATTGGTGAACACCTATGGCCAGGCGGCTGTGAACGCGGCGTTGGGTGATCCCTGGGAGGCCGCTGCAGACACGGTAAAGGACCGCAAGTATGTGACAGTCCAGCGCAAGGTGAATACCTTACCTGTACTTAGTGTTGTGCCCAAGCACGTTGCCACCATGAAACAAATCCACAATGATCGCTTTAATTATCGCTGGAGGGTGAATTAAGCGGATGATTGCGTTTTCGGAATTTCTGTGAAGTATTGGCTTTTCCCCCTTTGCAGATGTGTGTATGTGTGTGTCTGTTACTTTTGCAGCGCTGCTCTGACGAGGGATACACAGTGTGCATATCTGTGCATTCTTTCCCGAGATCCCTTCCATGCCGCCATCAACTGGCTGCAACAATAGTCTTCTTACCTGCGCTGTGCTGCTTCTCTTTGTGTCTTTGTAATTGTTGTTGTTGTTTTTTTTCTGTGTGTGTGTGGCGCTTTGGTGGCGGCGCGGTCGTCGTTGTTGTCTCCCGGCGGACACCGCAATAGTTGTGCACTTCACTGCGCCTCATTGGCACCTGGAGGTATGAGACTTAAAGCGGAGCCGGTTGCCTTCCACCTGTGCGTCGCTTCTGTGACCCAAGGGAGGGGGAGGGGTCTTCTTTCACCATTAACGTGACGGTCTTATTTGTGTGTGTTTGTGCTCAACAAAGGCAAAAAAAATAATAATAATGATAAATAAATAAACGAAAACAAAAATAAAACTTCTTCTTGTTGTTGTTTGCGGTTGATGAAGTCTTTATAGGAGAAGACCAAAGGGGCACCCTGCGTGACAGGCTGCTACCCATGAACGACAACACTTCAACACTGTTCTCTGCTGATGAGGTCATTGCACCTGGTAAATTCCCTCAGTACATGCAGTTGCCCTCGCCAGTGTACTTCGTGCGGTGGGTGGACGACCACCACGCCATTATTGGCGCCGGCGGTGGCGGGAGACGGTTTGGAATGGTCAACTTTCTCGCGCTTATTTCAGTGGACACCACGCAGCAGCTGTGCGAGGCACCTTCGGGTAAGAAGCCACAAGTGCAGCTGCCACAAAAGGACCCACCACCCCCTCCGCATCCATGGAAGTTTGTTACGGCCATTGACTTGGAGAGGGACATACCATGGTGTGCTTCTACCTTTGTGGTTTGCACCGATGCGGCAGAGCTTGCGCGTGGTGTGGTGGGGCATCTTGCGGTAAGTCACATCACATGCTTCACACTTGTTGAGGTGTATCAATGTTGCAAGACAAACAGTCTGGCGATGCGGAGGCGTGCATGTATTGCGGTACCGTCAGACACAAAAAACCCTGACAAGAAGCCAATTGCTCTTGTACAAGGGACCCTGGTTGTTGCACACGACGAAGGTGGGGTGCAGGTCTACAGCTTACACTCCCTTCTGCAACGTGTGCAGTCGCCAGAGGAGGAACAAGGAATACGGAGGAAAGTCGAGACGAATACCAAAACCCAGAATGCAAGTCCCGCTGCATCGGTGTATGGTGAGGAACAACATGCCGTCGTGGAAACACCAGGAATAATACGGGAGGCAGAACCTCTTGCTGTCTGGTCACTGCCTGCGCGTCTGAACGACCTTCACGCCAACCGATTTTTTGTGCCTAAAAAAGGAAACGGAAGGGAGAAGTCGGGGATGCGACCACACTCCGATTACTTACTCATTGTAGCCCTCGTCCAGGATAAGACGCTTCGACTCGCAACAATGAAGCTCTCTCGGAGAACCTCCGCCATTGATAAGGAGGGGAATAAAAATGTTAATGGGCACACTATAACCCATCTTGTGGATGCGTGTATGTTTACTGGGAAGGACTGTCACATTTCCTTCCCACTAATGAAATCTTCTATGAGATTAGTACAGATATTTGGGGTGGAAGATGTGACTCCAACCAAGGCGGAGGAGTCTTGGATGGAGGCACGCCGTCTACACTGCGAAACGGGTATTCGAGGAACAATGCCCATTGCTAGTTTTATTGTTGTGGTCTACGATGTGTTGGGAAATCACTCCTGCATGTTAACGGCTCGAGTGTCCAGCACAGCCGCTGCTGCAAGTCGAGATGCACTGTCCAAGGACTCTGAGACAGTCACCAATGACGCCAAGAAACCTTCTAGGCAGCTTAAACTTCAAGTGTGCTTCGCCCCCCAGCCTTCACCTCTGATAAACGAAGGTGTCACTTCAGTCAGCGCATGCCACTACCGCGGAAGATGCAATGACTGCAACGCTTTAAATGGGGAAGGAGTCGGAACTAACCTTCCTTCTCACTGGTTGGCCGGCACAGTGGAGGGCACCATTCTATCGCTGCTCTACACTGGTGAAGGCAGGTTTCAGACCCTGTCGATTCGGCCGTCTAAAAGCAAAAGAGAAGCCGCACGATTTCCAGCTTTGCATCGCGAACCGATTTCTTGCGTAGCAGTATCAAAACAAAACGATGTTTTGACGACGGATATAGCGCAGAATGTAGTAGTGTCGGTGCTTCCACTTTGTCAGGGGTCAACCATGAACCCAGCGCTTAGTGAGAGCAGGGGACATTGTTTAGCGAAAGTCGATGGGGCCGTGACGCGTGCGGCAGGTGCTGCAGTAACGGAGGTGGAGGACCTCACTTCTTTTGCAAACGACGGGAGGGAACTGGCCGTACAGCCGAAGTGCGTGGCTCTTTCACTTTTCCCATCAGGTCAAAGGTCCAAGCCGTCGCTGTTGTCTCCACTCGGATACACTGCCATTTTGAGCGCAGGGCTGCTGGCGGTTGCAGTGGTCGCGCTGCTGATGGCCATGCTGGTGGCGTACTGGTTATCCTAGGGGCCTTGGAAAGTGTACCAGTGGCAAGGTACGGGATGTGCTCGGCGCCGCCTTTTTCTGTGCCACAGGCCGTTTTATGCATGTTCCTTTCTTCTTCCAGTTGCCGGGATGGTCGCAGGCTGGTCTCCCAGTGTGTGATTTGGCCCAGCCTTCCGCTTCTTATGGCGCTTTTGTGCGGCAGTCGCACACAAGCGGCTGCGTGTTGGACTCACTTTGAACGCTGGCTGCAGTGCCATCCTTGGCTGTGTGGCAAGACAAGCCTAACTGCGGCTAAGGCTGCGTCACCGCGGCCCTCTTTTATAGGCGGTGCTGTTGTTTGTTGGTTCCCTCCAGCTCCAGCTCTCTGCTTGTTCCCCTCGCTGTTGACGGAGGGGGCTGTTGCGTTCCGAGGCACGCCCCGGCGTGCCTTGGCGGAGGGGAGTCGTGTTGGGGGGCGGGTGTGCGAGGACGGGGCCAGATGCTGCTGCGCGTCGCGTCGGTTTTTTTTTTTTTCTCTCCTTGGTCACTCCTTGCTGGTGGTTGTCCCGCTTTTTCCCTCCCCCTCCTCTTCTGCAACACGCGTGTTGTTTGCGCTTCTAGGACATCTTTGCAGTAACAGTATTGCACCCGAGGTGCCACGCGTCGACGAGGAACTGAAAGGAAAAATGTCCAGCGATGGAGTACCGCATCAATGAGCTTGGCCGTTTTCGGATCCTCCTTGGCGGCCTTGCCGCCTCACTCGCCCTCTCCGTGTTTTACGGTTTCAATCTTCTCAGTAACCACCTTCAGAAGGAGTACGGCTTCAATACGAACGACTTGACCACCATAACAACCACTGGCATCGTCGTTGGGTTTGTGACGTTCCCTGGGGGCATGCTGCTCGACTACGCGGGGCCGATGTGGGTGCTCATCATCGCCACCACTTCGTGTGCGCTGGGCGCTCTTCTCTTTGGGCTGACGTTTCATGGCCTCATCGCCGCCTCCGTTGTGCGTATCTCCGTCTTTTGTGCCTTTCTGGACTTTGGGTGCACCTGGTTTGATGCTGGCTCGCTGATGGCGGTGCTCGGGAGTTTTCCAAAAACGAGGGGCTTTGTGGTGGCTTTGATGAAGACATATGGTGGCATCGGCGCCTCCGTGTGCTGGCTGTGATCAACTACAGCTTTTTCGGTGACAGCTATGCGGCCTACATGTACTTTATGACGATCGCTGTGGTTGTGCTGGGATGCATCGCGATTGTTTTCGTTCGGTTTCCACCGTACCATCTTGTTGACTACGAGAAAAAGACCGTGCCGCAGGAGATCCAGGAGCGACGACGACTTATCGAGCC